ACAATGCAAAGTGAATTCTATACATTTCACCCTAATATGCCAGTAGCAGTTTTTTAAGGACTTCATCCATACAAATATTTCAAGTGCCAAAACTCTTGTAATTTTCATTTCATCTTTTTACAATGCTGTCCAGAATCTCTGCCCTGACAGTATTGTTTTTAAGTGATGTCTTCAATTTTAGATATACTTTCTTCAGGTACGTCTAAAAGGGAGTAGTAAAGGAGTAACTTTTGGAAATGAAATAAAGTGAAATTTGGTGGATGCAATTGTTGTGCATTTATGGTTTGATATGTGATGATGATTAGGAGTGCATTCATCCTGCATGAACCTATTTATTTTCTCCCTACTTCATTGACCTTTACATTGGATTCCCTCAGTTAATGATATTTTTCTGAACTGTTATAGTCCTTGTGGGTCAGGGAGCATTCAAGTAGCAAGCAAGGTCCTAATTATTAACCCCTTTTACTTTCCTGGAACACAAGGCAGTTAAGCCATGCAGCAGACCCCAAAGACAAGGTAAGCTTCAATTTTCTATTCTTACTTCAAAATTATATTGGAATGTTTAAATACTATGATAAGGCTAAATCAACGGGTTTGTTCACCTTAAATTATGCTCTCATTTCTCAATTCTCATACTTTCAAATTCAAATGTCAACTACTATATCTGGAACATAATGTGCTCATGGATGTAAAACTTTAATGCATAAACTGTATATAACTCTGTTCCAATTGACGGGTATAGTTAAAAGTTCACACATGGTTACTAACCTAGCACCACCTCAAGCAAATGTTTTTCAACTATTCACAATTTGTCCTCTTCGATTCAACTTTTAACTTTCCCCACTTTTACAAATATCCTCACATAGTTCGTGTCATTTGCATATTGAGCTATTAGCTATGGTGTTGAAATATTCTGCAATCTCGGTAGTAAGAATCTTAAATTTTGATGGTTGTCTTTTTTTGTTTAATTTTATTCCTTAACATAAAGCTCATGTTTCTGACGTTAAATATGTTTGTTGGGCTTTTGTCGCTGACGGTTTAATTGTCATTTTCTTCAAAAGACTGATGATTTGTTGTTCAAGTGCGTTTTGTATAGGCGGCGTTAACTGCGGAATTGAAGATTGGACCTGGGGCTTTTATTCCCTGTTACAATTATAATTATAATCATTAATACTGTGCGCAAAAGTTTTAGTTTTTCTAAATGGAATTGATTTCGCTGCAGCAGTGTCTATTTCAAATGGCTATAATGTTTTATGTATCAACTTTATCGTATTTTCTTGGATGGAGGAAAAAGCATCAGACAGTCCAGTCGCTAATTATCATTGATTGTACGATGGTAAATGTTTGACGATAGATATGTAAATTTTAAAGTTCAAATTTGAATATTTTTTACCATGTAAATCATTAATCATAATACGGATGTCAATGCTTGGAGAAAGTTTTAATTTTGAAGTTGAATTAATTAATTAATTAAATGGTTAATGACATTTACGTTCGTTACTTCTGACAAGACTTGATCGTAACTTTAAGCAGTACTACTCACGTATTTATTACTCAATTACTCATTACAGCAAAAGTAAATGTATTTAACTCAGCTACTTGTCTGTTTAAATCTGTCTAATGGTTTGGGTTTAGGAGCATCCACCGTACTCTATGTTCAAACCACATAAAGGAACTCTGTAACGTGTTAGCAACTACCAAGTTCAGATTTTCCTGTGATTTAAAGAAATTGGTTTTGATTTATATGGCAAATTGTTTATTGCTGGTCTTTATTGCTAGAGTTCAGAGATGCGCGTTTCCACATACCAATGCAACTTTTTGGCTAACATGATAATTCATAACGCTTAGATTTTATGATTTCAGAAGTAACTCCTCTGAAGTGCCTCAGAAAGTGTCCCCTCGTGGTGGTGGACGCCAACTCAGGCCTGCCACACTAGATACTGCATCTTCATCAAACCAAGCTCACAAAACTTCAAAGGATCATAGAAGTCCTAAAGTCACTGAGCGCAGATCACCCAGAAGTCCAGCTCCAGAGGTAGGTGACACTTCTTTTGTTTGTGTAACAAAATCAATGTTCTTTTTTATTAGAAAGTGCTTTCGTGAGAAGGTAGCAGGCACGGCAAATCTGTTTTTAGTTTCTTTCTTTATCTTTAATTAAAAATTTAGCTTTATGCTTACTTAAAGCGCTTTTGTTTTTTTGCCTAAATTGTCGGATGTTGTTATGATTATGTTTATATTTTTCAAGGCTTGCTTTTTGGAAAGGCGGTGTTAACTGCTGTCTAATTCGTTGAAGGGTTTAATTCTACTAATTTTTATTGATATTCTTGGACAATGTACTGGTATAGCTAATGAGAACGTAATAATGGGGCGTCTACTGATGTGGGCACTCAATTCCTGTACAAATGCACGTTATCTGTTAGATAGATATTAAAGTCGTCTTTTTGAAGGATTCTGTTCTCGAGCATCTGTTTGATGCATTCAAATAAATTGAGTTGGTAGAATAAGCTACTTCACTGCCATGTAATAACTTGTCATTGGTTCTATATACTATATTTGGTGGCATTGTATATTCAAGCTTTGTGGAAGATTAGGTTTCTTCTGGGCCTCTTTTGTTTTGTTATTTTGTTGGCGTAGGTTTTTCTAATCCTTGTTGTTTTATAAAATTCCTAATAACTAATCTATTGATGTTTTAGAGGAAGCGTCCTAGCAGAATATCTGAATTAGAATCTCAGATTTCTCAACTCAAAGAGGATTTGAAGGTTGTGAGGAACCAGCTCAGTTTGTCTGACTCATCCAAGAAGCAAGCTCAGCAAGATGCAGAAGAGTCCAAGAAACAACTATTTGCCGTATCTGTGGAACTTGAAGAATCTCAACAGCAACTTCTGAAGTTCTCTGCTACTGAACAAGCTCGTGTTATTGAGCTCCAGAAAACTATAGAAGAGCATGATAAGGCGTGGCAATCGGAACTCAAGGCTGCCCAACAGAAGCTCTCAGACAACACTTCTGCACTGACCTCTGCTATCGATGAAATTCAGCAGCTCAAGGTCCAACTTGAATTGGTAGCTAATTGTGAGAATGCACACACCCAAATTGCTGAATCATCGGACGTGGAATTACTGAACTTGAAGGATAACTTGGCAGAATCACTTTCCCTTGTGGAGAACATGAAAAATCAACTCCGGGATTCTAAAGAGTCAGGTCAGGCACAAGCTTTGGTCAACGAGACTTTGCGACAACTTGAAGCTGCAAAAAGAACTGTTGAGTTCCTGAGAGCTGATGCTGCAAAAGCTGTGCATGGCTACAACTCTGCTGCTTCGGAATTAGACCAATCTAGAACACGGGTGGACACACTAGAGACACTAGTCAGTAAACTTGAGTTTGGCCTCATTAGTAACAAAGGCAACCATTCTTTAAATGTTGCAGATGATGGGAACATGGAGCTGAAAGCTGAGATATCAAAAAAGGGTGAGGATCTTAATCACACTGAAGCAGAAATTTATTCTTTGAGGTCTTCCATAGAGACTGATGACGAGACTAAGCACCTGGAAGAACATATTCAGTGTTCAGTGAAGCTCAGGAAAGCCTATGAGTTGATTGAGCAGATAAAATNAATCATAAGAAGAGAGATTAAATTCCTCAATTTATACTCAAGAAACTTAGTATAATTAAAAAAAACCATCATCACATTTTAATAATTTTTTTACATATATCATTATTTTATTGGTTGATATATTTAACAAACTATCAAATAAGTTATTGTAAATAAAAAAAATTGTTAAAAAAACATTTTTCTCAGCAAAAATGTAGACAAAATGAAAAAGTACTGTTGAAAGCAATTAACCTTGTGAAAGGACAAATATATATGTGTGTTACGTCCTGTTATAGTCTAAAGACTATTCTTTCCTCCTCTCAGACCCATTCACGTTTCTCTTCTTCACCTCAACACTGCTCCTTCTTGTTGCTAACAACAAACACAAAAAACCAGTGCCAGATTCCAACACTCAACAGAAATTCATTCGTTTGGTTAATATGTTCACAGGTTCTCACTCGCGGTATGAATCTGTCACCCACCTTGTTATGTCGTTTCTTCTTCTGCATTGTTCTTTCTATTCAGGAAAAAGTTCTGAGAGTGTTTATTATTATAATTATATTAATATAACTGCATAATCGTTAACTCGCTAATTGCTTCTTGTCCAGGTTAATGCTCACTGTAACACACCCCAGAAAACAAGATCTCATCCTTCACCAGTGTGATTCATTACGTTCCTTATAACTCAGAGGTTCCAAGTTCTTCATCATCTCCTACTCCCTGTTCTTGCTAGGAATGTGAAATGTTTTTCTTTAATTTCTGGAAAAATAAAATAAAATTTTTGTTAGTGATGTTTCTGCGTTTCTTTTTTGACCGCTTTTTTCACTTTGGACTGCTACACAATTTATTTAATTGGAAAGTTACGCTAATATTAAAAGTGGCATTGACGCGGTTCTCTGTTTCAAAATTTAGGAGTTGCAAGGTTTCGTTGCTTTATGATTTAGCACATAATTTTCGAATTTGAGTACATATATTAATGAGGGAAAAGTTGTGTTTTGAACAGTAGAATACATAGTGTTAAAAGAGCTGGATTGGTTCCACGATGTTCTTTTTTGTGCTTCTTTCTTTGTTGGTTAATTCCGTGCTTGTTTCTTCTTTTTCGATATGCTTAATAAATAGAACTTCCTTAACTTTCATTTTTAATTTCAAAAGATGAATCTTCCATTACCTATTTTTGTTGCCGATTCTTTCTCGTTTATTATCAAGATTTGATTCATTTGTTCTAAATAAATGATAGTCCTTTTCATGAAGCGATTTTTCCCCTTTTTTCTACTTTGGTGTCTCCGTGTTCAATGCTCGTTGTCCACCAAGCACACATATCAAGTTGTTATAAGAATCCCTCATCTATATTATCATCATGTCTATCTTTTGTACTTACGATAATGTTCGTGTCTATTCCCTTCCTCATTGAAAATATTATGGGAAAATGTCAATGTGTAAGTCATTGGATGGCCACTGTGAAAGCCCTTCTTTCACGGCTAAATGGAGGTTAAGAATATTTTTTTTCATGCAATTACAGAAAAGCCCACAGCACATGAATGTGATTTCACTCACATAAATGGGTAAAATGGGTATCTTAGTCATTTACAAGATGAAGATTTGGACGTGTCTTTAATGGGGTGTCCTATCAGTAGAACGTGCCTCTTAAATATTCTCTGGGAGTTTTTGACACAAAGTTCTAGTCATTCATATCATCAGCTAATAAAAAGATACTTTTGTCTTTTAGAGCGTGATTACGATATCAAATTACACAGGTAAAACTGGTTTTGTGGGTTATTTTTCTGTAACTAAATTGATGTATAACATGTTTATCCAACAATGCAAAGTGAATTCTATACATTTCACCCTAATATGCCAGTAGCAGTTTTTTAAGGACTTCATCCATACAAATATTTCAAGTGCCAAAACTCTTGTAATTTTCATTTCATCTTTTTACAATGCTGTCCAGAATCTCTGCCCTGACAGTATTGTTTTTAAGTGATGTCTTCAATTTTAGATATACTTTCTTCAGGTACGTCTAAAAGGGAGTAGTAAAGGAGTAACTTTTGGAAATGAAATAAAGTGAAATTTGGTGGATGCAATTGTTGTGCATTTATGGTTTGATATGTGATGATGATTAGGAGTGCATTCATCCTGCATGAACCTATTTATTTTCTCCCTACTTCATTGACCTTTACATTGGATTCCCTCAGTTAATGATATTTTTCTGAACTGTTATAGTCCTTGTGGGTCAGGGAGCATTCAAGTAGCAAGCAAGGTCCTAATTATTAACCCCTTTTACTTTCCTGGAACACAAGGCAGTTAAGCCATGCAGCAGACCCCAAAGACAAGGTAAGCTTCAATTTTCTATTCTTACTTCAAAATTATATTGGAATGTATAAATACTATGATAAGGCTAAATCAACGGGTTTGTTCACCTTAAATTATGCTCTCATTTCTCAATTCTCATACTTTCAAATTCAAATGTCAACTACTATATCTGGAACATAATGTGCTCATGGATGTAAAACTTTAATGCATAAACTGTATATAACTCTGTTCCAATTGACGGGTATAGTTAAAAGTTCACACATGGTTACTAACCTAGCACCACCTCAAGCAAATGTTTTTCAACTATTCACAATTTGTCCTCTTCGATTCAACTTTTAACTTTCCCCACTTTTACAAATATCCTCACATAGTTCGTGTCATTTGCATATTGAGCTATTAGCTATGGTGTTGAAATATTCTGCAATCTCGGTAGTAAGAATCTTAAATTTTGATGGTTGTCTTTTTTTTGTTTAATTTTATTCCTTAACATAAAGCTCATGTTTCTGACGTTAAATACGTTTGTTGGGCTTTTGTCGCTGACGGTTTAATTGTCATTTTCTTCAAAAGACTGATGATTTGTTGTTCAAGTGCGTTTTGTATAGGCGGCGTTAACTGCGGAATTGAAGATTGGACCTGGGGCTTTTATTCCCTGTTACAATTATAATTATAATCATTAATACTGTGCGCAAAAGTTTTAGTTTTTCTAAATGGAATTGATTTCGCTGCAGCAGTGTCTATTTCAAATGGCTATAATGTTTTATGTATCAACTTTATCGTATTTTCTTGGATGGAGGAAAAAGCATCAGACAGTCCAGTCGCTAATTATCATTGATTGTACGATGGTAAATGTTTGACGATAGATATGTAAATTTTAAAGTTCAAATTTGAATATTTTTTACCATGTAAATCATTAATCATAATACGGATGTCAATGCTTGGAGAAAGTTTTAATTTTGAAGTTGAATTAATTAATTAATTAAATGGTTAATGACATTTACGTTCGTTACTTCTGACAAGACTTGATCGTAACTTTAAGCAGTACTACTCACGTATTTATTACTCAATTACTCATTACAGCAAAAGTAAATGTATTTAACTCAGCTACTTGTCTGTTTAAATCTGTCTAATGGTTTGGGTTTAGGAGCATCCACCGTACTCTATGTTCAAACCACATAAAGGAACTCTGTAACGTGTTAGCAACTACCAAGTTCAGATTTTCCTGTGATTTAAAGAAATTGGTTTTGATTTATATGGCAAATTGTTTATTGCTGGTCTTTATTGCTAGAGTTCAGAGATGCGCGTTTCCACATACCAATGCAACTTTTTGGCTAACATGATAATTCATAACGCTTAGATTTTATGATTTCAGAAGTAACTCCTCTGAAGTGCCTCAGAAAGTGTCCCCTCGTGGTGGTGGACGCCAACTCAGGCCTGCCACACTAGATACTGCATCTTCATCAAACCAAGCTCACAAAACTTCAAAGGATCATAGAAGTCCTAAAGTCACTGAGCGCAGATCACCCAGAAGTCCAGCTCCAGAGGTAGGTGACACTTCTTTTGTTTGTGTAACAAAATCAATGTTCTTTTTTATTAGAAAGTGCTTTAGTGAGAAGGTAGCAGGCACGGAAAATCTGTTTTTAGTTTCTTTCTTTATCTTTAATTAAAAATTTAGCTTTATGCTTACTTAAAGCGCTTTTGTTTTTTTGCCTAAATTGTCGGATGTTGTTATGATTATGTTTATATTTTTCAAGGCTTGCTTTTTGGAAAGGCGGTGTTAACTGCTGTCTAATTCGTTGAAGGGTTTAATTCTACTAATTTTTATTGATATTCTTGGACAATGTACTGGTATAGCTAATGAGAACGTAATAATGGGGCGTCTACTGATGTGAGCACTCAATTCCTGTACAAATGCACGTTATCTGTTAGATAGATATTAAAGTCGTCTTTTTGAAGGATTCTGTTCTCGAGCATCTGTTAGATGCATTCAAATAAATTGAGTTGGTAGAATAAGCTACTTCACTGCCATGTAATAACTTGTCATTGGTTCTATATACTATATTTGGTGGCATTGTATATTCAAGCTTTGTGGAAGATTAGGTTTCTTCTGGGCCTCTTTTGTTTTGTTATTTTGTTGGCGTAGGTTTTTCTAATCCTTGTTGTTTTATAAAATTCCTAATAACTAATCTATTGATGTTTTAGAGGAAGCGTCCTAGCANAAATCTGTTTTTAGTTTCTTTCTTTATCTTTAATTAAAAATTTAGCTTTATGCTTACTTAAAGCGCTTTTGTTTTTTTGCCTAAATTGTCGGATGTTGTTATGATTATGTTTATATTTTTCAAGGCTTGCTTTTTGGAAAGGCGGTGTTAACTGCTGTCTAATTCGTTGAAGGGTTTAATTCTACTAATTTTTATTGATATTCTTGGACAATGTACTGGTATAGCTAATGAGAACGTAATAATGGGGCGTCTACTGATGTGAGCACTCAATTCCTGTACAAATGCACGTTATCTGTTAGATAGATATTAAAGTCGTCTTTTTGAAGGATTCTGTTCTCGAGCATCTGTTAGATGCATTCAAATAAATTGAGTTGGTAGAATAAGCTACTTCACTGCCATGTAATAACTTGTCATTGGTTCTATATACTATATTTGGTGGCATTGTATATTCAAGCTTTGTGGAAGATTAGGTTTCTTCTGGGCCTCTTTTGTTTTGTTATTTTGTTGGCGTAGGTTTTTCTAATCCTTGTTGTTTTATAAAATTCCTAATAACTAATCTATTGATGTTTTAGAGGAAGCGTCCTAGCAGAATATCTGAATTAGAATCTCAGATTTCTCAACTCAAAGAGGATTTGAAGGTTGTGAGGAACCAGCTCAGTTTGTCTGACTCATCCAAGAAGCAAGCTCAGCAAGATGCAGAAGAGTCCAAGAAACAACTATTTGCCGTATCTGTGGAACTTGAAGAATCTCAACAGCAACTTCTGAAGTTCTCTGCTACTGAACAAGCTCGTGTTATTGAGCTCCAGAAAACTATAGAAGAGCATGATAAGGCGTGGCAATCGGAACTCAAGGCTGCCCAACAGAAGCTCTCAGACAACACTTCTGCACTGACCTCTGCTATCGATGAAATTCAGCAGCTCAAGGTACAACTTGAATTGGTAGCTAATTGTGAGAATGCACACACCCAAATTGCAGAATCATCGGACGTGGAATTACTGAACTTGAAGGATAACTTGGCAGAATCACTTTCCCTTGTGGAGAACATGAAAAATCAACTCCGGGATTCTAAAGAGTCAGGTCAGGCACAAGCTTTGGTCAACGAGACTTTGCGACAACTTGAAGCTGCAAAAAGAACTGTTGAGTTCCTGAGAGCTGATGCTGCAAAAGCTGTGCATGGCTACAACTCTGCTGCTTCGGAATTAGACCAATCTAGAACACGGGTGGACACACTAGAGACACTAGTCAGTAAACTTGAGTTTGGCCTCATTAGTAACAAAGGCAACCATTCTTTAAATGTTGCAGATGATGGGAACATGGAGCTGAAAGCTGAGATATCAAAAAAGGGTGAGGATCTTAATCACACTGAAGCAGAAATTTATTCTTTGAGGTCTTCCATAGAGACTGATGACGAGACTAAGCACCTGGAAGAACATATTCAGTGTTCAGTGAAGCTCAGGAAAGCCTATGAGTTGATTGAGCAGATAAAATCAGAATCAAGCCAAAGAGAATCCGAGCAAGAGGTAGAATTGAAAAGAAAGAATGCTGATATTGAACATTTGAAGGCTAACCTATTGGATAAGGAAACTGAGTTGCAGGGCATTGTGGAGGAGAATGAGAAGTTGAATTTGCAGCTTCAAAAGAGAAATTCATCCCAAAGAGAGCTTGAACTTAAAAAGGAGCTTCGAAAACTAGATGAATGTGTGGCTGAGTTAAAGGGTGATCTAATGGACAAGGAAACAACATTGCAAAACATATCAGAAGAGAATGAAATGCTGAAGTTGGAGCTTCGTAAGAGGTTTGGACACGGTGGTAAAGTGGGGGTGGAAGTTGCTGCAGAACTTGAGGCTGCTAAGGCTGCCGAACGTGAGGCTGTTATGAAANGGTCTTCCATAGAGACTGATGACGAGACTAAGCACCTGGAAGAACATATTCAGTGTTCAGTGAAGCTCAGGAAAGCCTATGAGTTGATTGAGCAGATAAAATCAGAATCAAGCCAAAGAGAATCCGAGCAAGAGGTAGAATTGAAAAGAAAGAATGCTGATATTGAACATTTGAAGGCTAACCTATTGGATAAGGAAACTGAGTTGCAGGGCATTGTGGAGGAGAATGAGAAGTTGAATTTGCAGCTTCAAAAGAGAAATTCATCCCAAAGAGAGCTTGAACTTAAAAAGGAGCTTCGAAAACTAGATGAATGTGTGGCTGAGTTAAAGGGTGATCTAATGGACAAGGAAACAACATTGCAAAACATATCAGAAGAGAATGAAATGCTGAAGTTGGAGCTTCGTAAGAGGTTTGGACACGGTGGTAAAGTGGGGGTGGAAGTTGCTGCAGAACTTGAGGCTGCTAAGGCTGCCGAACGTGAGGCTGTTATGAAACTTGGTATTTTGATGGAAGATGCAGAAAGGAGCAACCGAAAGGCGGAGAGGGTGGCTGAGCAGCTAGAAGCGTCTCAGGCAGCAAATTCAATAGTAGAAGCTGAACTGAGAAGATTGAAGGTGCAGTCTGATCAATGGAGGAAGGCTGCAGAAGCAGCTGCTGCTATGCTCTCAGCAGGGAACAATGGGAAGCTGACTGAGAGATCAATGTCTTTAGACAACAACTATAACTCTATGATGAATAAGTACTCACCTTTCTGTGAAGAACTTGATGATGATTTTCAGACCAAGAAAAATGGCAACATGCTGAAGAAGATTGGGATCTTGTGGAGGAAACCTCAAAAATAGTCACTGTTTGGTTTAGACCACTTTCTAATGTTGTAGTGCAATGTAATCTTATGTTACTGCAATGTTTATGTTATGCAATTTTGTCTGATCACAACCTTTCTCCTTGTTTGGTAAACATGGTCTACTACTTCTGCCTTGTATTCTATTTATTTAGTTAAGCCCTTTTATATGATCTACCATTTCACTATCTAGAAAATCCAGGAAATTATATTTTCTTTGTGACTTTGTAGTATCAGGAAGCATTGATTTTATAATGTCTCAATGTTTGTTTCTTCTCCATTTCATGGAAATTCTCAATATTTGTACTCTCTAGCCAATTTTTTTTTTAATTATGTATGTTGGAATTAAAAAATATATACTAAAATTCACAAAAATATTTTTCCAAATTTTATTCAAACATAACCTAAGTAGTTGCACCTAAAAGCATTCTCCTTTTATAGATTAAGATATTCTCAATGTTTCATAGACCCAGGATTCAAAATGAGGCTCTTTGAGCTTTTGTTATGGGCTTTTTCTCTCTCCCCCTCCATAATTTTTAACTGCACCCACCCCATAATTTTTCCAATGGCTATTTTACCCTTTGAAAAAGTGAATTTCTAATGATTATCTCTTTTCTTCTTTTACAGCGAAAAATGGAGATACGACAGTGATGACAAAAAGAAAGTATATTATCAGTGTCAGTTTATTCTTTGACCTCCATAAATTTCCTCCGAACACAAAGAAACTTATGTTCTTGTCCTTTTTAACCTAAAAATAAAAAATAACTTTCAATTTTTTAAAAAAATTATAGAAAAATAGTTTCTAAATTACATAATTCAATTTAGAAGTCATTTGGCATCCCAATTATATAATCCAAAAATCTTTTTTTAAAGGAAAAAGAATTATTTCTAAATTACACAATTTCGTTTTTGTTCTTTTTCAAATTATAGAGTCTGAAAATATTCTAACTTTAAAAAATGACTTTCAGATTGTACTATTATACTTTTAAGAGAGGACAAAAATGAAATTTTATTCATATAAAAGTGAAGGGAGAAATTTATGGAAGTGCAGCTCGCGAGTTTATGTAAAGGGGCCAAAGTCCAATTTAAAGTCCACACTTTTGCCCTTCGAAAACTTTAAAAACCAGATGATATATATATATATATATATATCAACACTTAAATCAAATTAAACTAAATAACATGATGAAATACCATTAAGAAAAAAATATACTTTTAACATAGACACATTATTCTTCATTTTTTCATTACAAAATCTATGTCAAATAGATGGAATGTAAGTTGTAAAAGCCTAGAAAATGGTGTTTTAGAAGTAGTGGTAGTCTAAAAATAGTGAGACTCGATTATTTTAATATTAAACGGTCTTATTATAAATAGTTTTGTTCTAAACGAGTTTCATTATTTTAAAACGTACCATATCTAGAAACCACTTTCCTATAGTTCTTTGCCTTCTCTCTAGATTTTCTTTCTACTGAGTTATCTGTTCGACGATCAGGAGGTGCTTACGCGATCCTGGCGTTGAAGGCAACAAACTGTAAAATGATGATTATGAACTGGTTTGGATGGATCTAATTGTTATAATTGTGCATGTTGGAGGTACTGGTTGTGAGTAATCTGTTGTGATAATAATGAGATAGGAAGTGAAGTGAATGGTGCTTGTTTAAAGTCAATTTGGAGGAAGTGAGGTAGTGAATTTGAGTATTTAAGGTCAAGTGATGTTAGGGTATGCTGGGGCAGTCTAGATAAGTCATATGTGACTTGTTTGAGTCATCAAAATGGTCAAAAGCAGGTTCAAAGTGGTAAATTGGATTTGAGTCTCTAAGTTGATGCAATTGAGGTTTTAGAGTAGGATTTGGTGCTTAAACACTTTAGATTGATGTTAGGAATGTTTAGAATCACTTAGTCTAGTCTAATTAAGTTTGTACAACAATCTAGGAGTGTTAGAAGTTGGGAAAATTGAGCAGAATTGGTAAGTTGTGGTTGAGTTGCATAATTCTGTAGAATTTCGTTCTGCATATTATGCAGACTCGCTGTGCAAATGGATTCGCATAGCGAGTCACCTTGGCGAGATGCTCTCTACCAAGGCATTCGCACAACGAATGGGTGTGTTGTGCGAATGGATTGAGAAGGTTGCTCTCTGTTTGATGATTCGCATAGCGAATCAAGTCGCTATGCTACTGGTTGGGGTCTGGGGTTATTATTCTTTTTATTCGAACAACGAATGAGTTTCGCTCTGCGAGTGCTTGAGGAGCATGAACCACTGTTTGGGGTTCTCGCGTAGCGAGCTGGGACTCTATGCGAGGGGTCTGGGTTTGATTCAAGTCGAGGTTTATTCGCATAGCGAGTCTAACCGATATGCGAATGGTTTAGAGAGTTGTGTCTCTGTCTGAGGATTCGCACAGCGAGTTAAGTCGTTGTGCGAGAAGCCTCTAGTTTCGCTATGCGAATGTGTGCGCTGTGCGAGGGGTTCTGTTCTAGTTCACTTTTCTTGTGATCTTAAGTTGTTCTAAATGAAACATTGAGTGTTGTATGAAGTAAGTTAAAGTTGTGGTATGTAATATCATTGGTTATTGATGTATGTTGTATTTCAAAGTGTAAGTTGGTGATTCAAAGTGTAAAGTTCAAAGTATGGTTGATGGACGTAATTCCATGGATCTCACAGGGAGATTACATTGTGGTGTCCTATGTTATGGACGTAATTCCATGGACCTCACGGGGAGGTTACATGGTGGTGCCTCATGTTGTGGTCCAAAGTGAATTCTCTTGTTGAGATTCAAGTATGTTTAGAATGAATGCAGGAGCTCAGTCTTGGAGGTTATCCTGAAACTCCAATGGTATTTCATTCTCAAGTAGAGAGGATTGATCCATGTCGTGAGGAGTAGCAGGAGGTCCTAGTCTTGGGTGCTTCCAGTATGACCCAAGGTGAGTGATAACGGACTAACCTCGTGAGTGTGGTAGGGTGAAACCCATTGGCAATGGCTTTGCAAAGCAGTAGAAGCCACCACGAGTGCATGACCCGCCATAGCTCGGCAATCATTTTAAGTCCGGACGGTCAAAGTCAGTGTGGTGTTATGTATGAAGAGTTATGTGGTGTGAATGAATAAGTATGCTTGTATGAAACTTAGTAAATGAGTATATGATTAATCTTTGTTTAAACTAGCTTACTCTTGCTTTTCTGTTGTCTATCATTGTATGTTTTCTGTTTTGCGATGATCACCTGATTGGTGTGAGCTTAGGGAGACATCTGTTTCAGTTACTTCAGTGTTAGGTGATCGGAGAGATTCAAGAAAGAAGTCGGACGAATCTATAGGTGTAAATATTGTCTTTGTTTGTTTCTTATATTAGTTAGTTTATCATATATGTAATATTCATTTTAGTAGTATTTTACTATTAAAGATGGGATGTTACATAAGTGTGTCATAGTGTCATTATTCATATGATTAAATATGTTACCGAAAGGTTGACTCAAATTCTGGATGAAACAAATGAATTCCTGAAAATAAATAGTAAATATTAATAATACATAAATTAGCAATTGTAAAAGAATTACAACAATGTCAGTCATATAATTTTAAATTACCGTTATACTAACGATAGTACATTAAAAGTACTTGTTGTTAATAGTAGTTACACATTGACATATCATTATTTTTAGCTAACATGGTTGTCTTTTGTGCTTCGAGACTCGTTTTCTTAAAACAAAAACAGGATATTTCTATTTCATATTTTGCTGGTTTTAAAGTTCTTCACAAATGCAGTTGGACAGAACCCCTTTATGTTTGTATTGTAGTACTTGTTTGTTAATTGTTACTGGCTCACATTCTGACATTCATATTTGTCAAACTTATGTCTGGCTGCTTTCTCACGCCCAAATCCTACGTTGGATTTGGTCTGCCCAATGCATTTATGGCCAAACAGATTTCTTTCCCAAAATTTTCTTGCCTAAAGCAACTAGAGATGAATTAGATTCTGAAGTTTTGTTTTTGGAGCTTGATTTTGTAAAGAAGAACTTGAATACTGCCTTGGCTTACTTCTATAAAGTACATAATCATGAAATATTTCATCATTTTAACTATCAGAAACTATATAGACAAACAAAAAAGTCAAACTCTTTCCGTGATTAGCTCACAAACAAAGGGAAACAAAGATTCACAGTGGCCTCAAATCACCAAAGATGTAAAGCCATCACCCTATGAAGATGATCACAATGAAGAGAAACCAACCAGAAAAATTGGAGAAAGATACATGAGCAATCGGTTTTCCTTTCGCAGAGGTATTTCTCATGATGAAAGGTATGATGTTGTTAGACCAGACCAGCAAAACATGAAGGAAAAGAAGAAGAAGCAAAAGTGATTATCTGGTCTAGCCAGGAAGAAAATGTCCACAACAATGCCCTGGTTAATTAGCTCTCAAGAAGCAGAGTCGTCAAAACAATTAAAAATGGAATAGTTTGCTATCATGAACCTTCACAGAAGCTTGTGTGTAAACCAGAATATGTAGTCATTACAGATGGACAGAACCTTAGTCAGGTATCCACGGTTTTCCATCTCCAGTGATCTTAATTTAGATATCTTGCAGTGAGCACAGCCACAGCAATCTCTCCTCTAAAATTTTATCCATATTCATCAATAAGAAGATAACAGTACAGAAAATTTGACAGTTTTGGGGAACTAAACAGAAGGAGGAAAAAAAAACACAAGAAAAGAAAGGATCCAAGTGAATCATATCCCTGTTAACCCAATACTAAAGAGGATTGACAGTTTGATAAAGACTGATATTTTAGTCAAGAAAGTGCCTTGTGATTTTTCTTGCAGTTGGGGTTCTACATTAGGGGACTCTGGAGAAGTCCATGCCAAGAAGATGTGAAATTGTTCCAACTTTCAATTGCTCTTCCTGAATCAATTTCAGCAATGTTTGTGTCTGCATTAAGCTGCCATGGCGAACCTCCCAACAGCTTCCTTTCACTTTGCTCACTGCCACCACACTGTTCTTGCTTCAGTAATGCACTCACTGATTGAGTGGCTGCATTGCTCATCACTTGATTATAAGGGAGCATCATCTCTTCACTGATTCCAACTCCACCAGAATTGCCATTATCTACCTCCCCAATGTCCCCATTTCCGTACATGTAATACAAATTCTGAAGATGGTTTTGCGTTTCAAGGAACCCACTTCGAATTGCGTCCAAAAATGAAGGGTGGTCTGAGTAGGGATTCATGCCTGAATTGCTCAGAACGTCACAGAACGAGCCTGTGGGGTTCCCCAGCGCAGAAATTTCACTGTCATTGTAACCCAATTGGCCACATGATTGTTTTTGAAGTCTTGCTAATGCTAGAGTGAAGTCATTGGAGCCATAACACAGCTGAGGGAATGTAGTGAGTGGGTTAAGATTCGGTTTGAAACTCTGATCATGATCCCTCTTTAACGATGATGATGATGATGATCGCTTCTTTCGGCATCCTCCTCCCACTGGAACATTCCTCAGTGTTCCTCCTTTGGTCCAATATCTCCTGCAAGACTTGCAGAAATATCTTGGCTGAGAAAGACTATAGTTGTTGTAGTAGCAAAATTTTGTGCTGGTGGAATCGCATCTTGGGCATTTCAGAGCTTGTTCTGGATTAGGCCTTGGTTTCTTCTCCACTGTCTGGCTAGACATTTGCTGCAACATAATACATAAATCCTATCAGTATGAATGCATCATGAAATGGTTGCTGAATCACATAGACATATATAATCAGAAAAAAAGGAGAGTTCAATTGGAATACATACATCCAGTATAAGACCATAAAAGATAAAAATAACAAATCTTCAGTCAAATATACACATAAAAGAGCTTGATAAAAAAGTCTTGTACTGCATATATAACTAAAAAAGGGTAAGAATGAAAATCAATTGCCAATTGCTCAGGGTTTAAGATGGATATCCTTGCTTATACTTGTAAATTTCTTCTAAGGAACAACTTAAAAAGCCAACATCAACGTGTTTGCATGATGCATCCAAATTCCTACCTGGGGTTGTTCACTAGAAGGATCCATCCACAGAATCAGAATCAGACTAAGCAGTCCTTGGTTGGAACCTGAAAAGGAGTGATTTTGTTATGTGGGTGGTTTCTATCTGCTTGTCTAAGGCGTGCTGGGACAAAAAGAGAAGGAGAACAGTGAGAGAGCAAATATAGAAAATCGAGATCGATAGACAGATAGATGGGAGAAGTTCTCATGCAAAGTGAGGGATGGTAATAGAAACAGAAGGACTTGTCTCTATATATAAAGCAAACAATCCCAATATATAGAGAGAGAGGAAGAGAAAAATGATTCTTTTTGTCGTACAATGTGGTCGATGAATGAGGTTAGCTTGCACGCAGAGAAGGTAAGTATTCGAAATTCGAGTAATTGTACTAAAATCTATTGTGCAACGGTTTCATACCATCACTAACCTCAGTCTTTGTCTTGTCCCTATAGTGGGTCAGTGGACCCAACCATCAATGGCCCCACCATGCATCCACCACCACCTACATACAAATTAACATGAGTATTAAGTGGTCCAAATCATTCAATAATTTTTGCATGCAGAGCCGATTTTCTCAGCCCTCAATCCTAAACCTCGTGCAATATGGATTCCCATGTTTCTAAGTTCTAACTAACATTCGAGCCAAATACACGTCTGTGTATTTGGTGAATAAACAAAAGTATCATAATCAGACATAAAGAAAATCAGAGGTTTTGGTCCAAAAAAGAGGCGAGAACGTAGATGTTTTTGCTGGGTGTGACGAGGTGGTGGGGGCCACACAGCAAGCAATTAGACAATAATTATTCTTGACATTGTTTGTTGAATGTCTGCTTGATGTGGACAGGTAATGATGTTGCAGACACTGATGACTGTGAAAGAGGATCTTCAATTTTTTGTGTGTATTCATCACACTCAAATCATTCACATTCACTTGTTCACACACTAAGCTAGTATATCTTGTTGCTTCTTTTATCGTTTTAATTTGTTACACGGAACACGTTGTGCACTCATAATACCTATGCTACCTCACCAGTTATTCATCATCACTCACTCTCATTTCATCAATCACCTTTGCTTTTCTCAGTTTGTTGGGTCTTTTGGTCCTTCAATTTGGGTGCTGGTGGTCCCTCCTATACTCTCAATCTGATCATCATGAATTATAACGACGTGTCTTAACTCACACACCTATTCAATGGAACTCACTGGTTTTGTTTCTATTGCCACTCGAGAGACATAATTTCCATTGTAGTCAGTTCACACCAAAACCAATGTATTTCTTTTTATAAAGACGACCACGTCATACATTAACATATCTGAGTTTTTTATTTTATCCACGATCCATGCTGTCCCTGCTCTGGTTCAAATATTTGTATACTGTGATTTGTAAATGATATCCATCGTTGAACGTTGTAATCATGGCAACTTGCAAGCTAAGTTTGAGTATGTTGGCACATTCATTCCTTAAAAGATACTAAGTCAGTAACCAGAGGATGTTAATTTCAACTCACTGGAAATTTGTAGGAACAAAACATCACACTCACCGAAGCATACTTTGAAAATACTTCAGACTCTCCTCTCTTTTGTAAACTGCATATCCAACATAAATCTGTGTAACAGATTCATGATTTTGGGAAGCTATGGAATGTGTTGTGATTCTTCTTATTTGGCAATGCATGATGAAATGATTAGATTCACTGTGTCGTTACTTTTTTTTATTGATCTACAAATAATTAAACATTTCCTCACATGCACGATGCTTGATTTGTCGCTTAGCTGCTAGAAAAAACACACTCTCTGTCCTTTTTCCACAAGCAATCCATACATATCTTGGACTTGTTTTTTTTTATCCGAAATCAAGAGAAAAGTTAACTTCTGTTCTTTAATTTTATAATTATTTAAGCCTGATTAATTTAAATAATTCATATAATGAACACTTTTTTGGTGCTGGTTACAAAGAAGATATCGAACATGCAATCCACCCAAACTGCATATATAGTCTCTGAGAGAATAAACTATGGCTATCATATCCGAATCCCGAAAATGGATTGATTATATAAAATTAGAAATAAATATGCATGGCATGTGACAGATGGTCAGAAACTTAAAATTATTAAAGTAAACATCGGAGATTTTAGGTTTTGACTCTCAGAAAAAGAAAAAGAAGAAGCTATAATATAGGAAACTGTAATATATTTTAATTTTTTATTGTTTTTTAATTCAGCTAAATATATATATATATATATACTATATATTCCAAAATGAATATTAGTGTATGATTTAATGGTTTTATTATGATTTGAATATGATTGTGGAATAAGTTAGCCAATGGTTTTGAAGGTGTCAGTGTTGGATAAAATATCCATTGGATACTGTGAAAATGTAAGTAGTGGTGTAGGTTTGTTGTTTGTTTTAATGGGGTGATTGAGATAAAGAAGATTTGTTTGTATTGTTTTGGAGGAGGAGAATGTTGAATATAAACAAGTTAATTAATGAAAGATTGATGGAAAATATGGTGGGTCAGATATGTTGGTTGACCAGTCAAATTTATTTGAGTGCAGGAAACACAAATGCATAAAGCAAAAGTTAGTGATGAAAATTGTGCCAACATCTCATGCCATAATACACTGTAAATATATCGTTTTTGTATGCCATTTCTACATTTCTACTTTCGACTTCAACTAAGGTTAAATTCTAAAGAAAACCTTTACTTCACTTTAGTGATTTTACACAAGTCAAATAAAAATAAAGTGAAATGTGAAATTGTGGAGGTTAAGATACGAACAAAATTTCACTATGAATATACATTATATAATGAACGATGTTAAATTGATATTTTTATATTTATTTGACATAAAATATAAGGATAAAATGGTCATAAAAATATGAATTTTTTATTTTTTAAGAAAGAAAAATATAAAAAGTAAGGATAGTATACTAAATGAATGTAAAAATTTTAAGTATGTCAAAGAATATTTTTCTTACATAATAAGAAACCGGTGGTACTAAAAGCAAATTTACACAAAAACGAACAATATCTTATTATTATGAAAACTAATCCAATAGTTTAACTTAATATAAAACGTAATTAAGTTTACTTGATGGAATGAGTTCACGAGTTTCATGTTTAAATGGTTTGGTGTAGTCGAATCGCCAAATTCATTTAATCGTCTTATATAAGAGATGAATTGATTAAGAGGTTGAGTTTGACTTTTAATCTTAGTTTCAGTGGAAGCATAGATCGAAAACGAAAACGAAAAAGTTTCTTAAAAAGCAATCATATAAACTTGTAATAATCATTTAATTTAGACCAATCTGGCACTTATTAAAAAAGCACGTAGTATTATGATTATGAGTAAGATATGGCAAGAATGTTTGGTGAATGATGATAATTGCCACGTGAACAAAATGATGAAGACACGAATGAAGAGAATGCACATGAAATTTCAAAGAGTTAGGTGATCAAAATGATGAGTGAATAGGGAAATATTCATACTAATATTGATATCATCATGAAAACAAAACGGTGTTTCAATTACAGCTTCCAAACTCGTTTTCGTTTTGGTAATTAGCAATCGAGATTTTCAACGTAAAAGAGAAAAAGCTCCCCATGCAAGACATGAACTCTACAATAATAATTTTTATGTAAGTGTTTGCTCTCTGTTTTGTTTTTTTTTTTTATAAAAAAACATTTTATACTTTTAACTTGGAGAAAGTTAGACCACCCTATATTAAAAGGGCAACAAAGAAAAAAAATTGAGGTTTATCTTACAAATAGTTCGGTAGAGATAAGAAACATTTAGATTTGTAATTTATAAATTAGGTTAGGTTGAATTGGATTTATAATTTATTTTTAGTGACATCATAATTATTTAAAGAATTATTTTGGCAAAATTTATTCTTTGTTAAACTTATTATAATGTGATATATCTCTAAGAAAGAATATGATCATTTTTAAATTTAAATCCTCAAAAAAACATAACAAAAATAAATAAGAGAAAATTCTATAATAAGATAATAATAAAAAACCACAATATAGCATATTGATAAGTGAATTTTGGCATGTTAATTTTTAATTAAAATCAGAGTTTTAATTAATAACAAAAAAAATTCTCTTTTAAATAATGCAAAAGAATATGATATGACTTAAAAGTGTTTGCATGAGTCTTTAGTACCTCTGTATATGTTAACAAAACTTATAAGCCCTAACATAAAGCCCACAACATAAACTTAACAGAAACCAAAAATTATAAAATTCTGTCTAATTAAACCCGCTCGCTTAATGAACGCAAACTGGACTTAGCTGAATCTGCGAGTCTAACGAACACAAACTGATTTGTTGAACAAATTTAATATTATTTAAAATTAATATTATAATTTATTTAATTTTCTAAATTTTATTCTTTAATTATGCTCATATAGTCTTCTTGTATAAGATTTAACGAGACTTTGGGAGATGGTCCTTTGTCATACTATATATTTATTATTAGACTATCCATAAATATATGAGTCATGTAGATAATTCAATAATATAGTTAAGGATTAAATATACTTTTAGACACTCAATTATCAAAGTATTTTTTTTTTTTTTAAACGATCCTTGCTTGCTTCCTGCGTCTTCACGCTTAGGGTTTTTTCCCTCCTTTATTCATCTCCATCATTATCCGAACTCTCTTCATTATTGGGTCGCTCCCTCTGCCTCCATCTCCGCTCCTTAACCACGACTATGAGCAGAAAGGTGTGCTCAGGTGTGCTCAGGTGTGCTCCGGTTGCCATGTCGCGTCTACGATTTCAAGCACATGTAGTTTGACACAACCCAAAATCGCTTCTTGGCTGCTGGTGAAGATGGCCAAATCAAATTTTGGAAGATAACCAAATCAAGTTTTCATGTTCTTTTTCTGTTGACGGTGGCGTTGATCTAATAGGAACCCAGGATCCGATCACTACAGCAACAAGCAATGGCAGGGGCAGCCTCGGCTCTGTTCCTACTCGACATCAAAGGTCGCGTCCTCATCTGGCCTGACTACCGACGCAAAACGCTTCTTCACCAAGCTCATCGAGAAACATTCCTTCCGCTTTACATCTCTTATGTCTTCCACTCACTCTCGCAACGCGAATCCTCACTCTCTAGCTACTCTCCTTTTCATTGAAGGCCGATCCGCAGTCTCAAGATCTGGTCGTGGTCGACAACGGCGTAACCTACATGTTCGTTCAGCATAGCAACGTCTACATCATGATAGCCACCAGACAGAACTGCAATGCCGCCAGCCTCCTGTTCTTCCTGCACCGAATCGTCGACGTACGCCTCCTTCTTATTAAATCCTTTCGAAAT